AGAAGTTTAAATCGAAAAATTAGAAAAAAGTTTAAACAAGGTTTTTTTCTTATTCTCAACATTTCTCAGTTTACTTAAAATATATTTAAAATTTTACACATATCTATACCATTTACAAGTACCTATGTCGACCAGGAGAAGTAATTGAAATTTACAAATATGTTTTTCTTTCTTAATTTTATGATCATAATAACTATTTAGTGATAAAAAATGAATTTTAATCTTGAATATAAGCTTATAAAGTATCTGGCACTCGCTTTCAAATAAAAAAAAACTGTGTTTTTAAGTTCCACCTTTGAAAATTTGATTTCCTGAAACTTTTGTGATCAATGATTTCTTGAAGCCTGTGAACCTTCTACCTCCGGATCACGGTTAGCAAAAAATCCGGAAATCCGGAGCACAATCAGCCCTGATTCTTGTTACATGTTTGCTCACCATTTCTTTAACGTTAAACTAACCGACAGTACATAATAGTTTGTGGATAATAATACTTTGAAAAACCTTTGAGTCTCTATAGCATTGTTAAATTTACAGCTCTTTAACTCTTTTGGCAAGAATTTACAGTGAAAGCAGAAAGTTCAACAAAAGAGGAGATAACTGATCGTTTTCCCACTTATTTTAATCCTGCTGTGTTTGCCACAGTAAAGGCCTAAATTTAAAACGTACTATAGTTAGGATATCATTTCCACTTTCAAATCTTTTTTAGCAAGACAAAGAGAGAGTTTAGAAAAGGAGTTGAGATTTTCAGCAATTTATTGGCCACCTGTTTTATTTTCTTTAGTTATGTGCACTGCATACCCTACTATTTTGCGAAATTTTGTGTATAGTTTAAATTTTGAATTCTTATTCTGTTCATTTGTAATTTTTTTTCTTTTCCTTTTCTTTTGTACTTTGCCCATTTACTTCTGTAAGCCTCATGTTTTACATTGTGGAGCATGAGGAGTTGTTTAAATAAAACTTAATTAAAAATAAAAAAAAACCTCTTTTAGCAGGTTTCAGTGACATATAATGAATTATGCCAAGTCTTTCTTTATATTTTATTATAGCCTGGGTGTATTCTTGTATGGTGCAAAATTAAGTTCTTAGTTTTCCTTTTCTTGATATGACAGAATCAAAAATATAATTTAGTGGTCGAAAGTGATCATAAAATGCTTATTTTCAACAAATAGTAACAATATTTATCAACGACCGTCTGAATAAAAAAGTACTTATATAAATAAATAAAAAAGTCACTATTTTTCTTCGAACTTCTAGTTTGTCAGAATTTAAGAATAAATTAACAAACCTTAAAAATTATCGATTTATCAACCTAAAAAAGTAGATAAAAATGAAAGCATTAAAAAACTTTGATTTCATGCTAAGTCACAATTTTACAATTCTGTCCCCACCAAAACAAAAAAATGCCATTAAATTATACCTGATAGGTAATATTATGAGTAGTTATTAGATGACAAGCAACGGTTTCTTTCCTAATTGTTTCATAAATGTAGGCTCTACAATATCGTACACACGTAGGACACTTGCAATTTTCATCTATAGGTCTAAAATCTTTAGAGAATTCCTTATGTTTCAAATTTATTTCTCCACCAGGGACTAGGGCTGTTCCAAACCTCTGAAAATATAAAAGTAATAAAAGAATAATTAATCACATTTATAATACAGCATGATATTTATAATACAGTAGAACCCAGACCCATCATTTATCAAGGGACCATTCATTACGATCGATAGATACAGGAAATAATGACTTTAAAATGTATGAAAAGTTATAGTATGGACTAGAAAATTAACAAATTTATAATGAGTATTGAAGATTTTAATTGGAAAAAAAACAACAACAACATAGTTACGACAAAAATATTTATGATTCAGATGGAAGATAAATAACCGCATTTATTTTAACTATTTGGAAATTTTGGTTAGAATACATTCAATTTTTAGCATAAACAGTAATTTTAGACATTTGTAACAGATTGCTGCCTACTTTTTGTATGTAAGTTGTGAATAGAAAGTTATTCCTTGTTTCAAAGGTTTTGAGGCCTTCTGCAAATGTTGGCACTGGTTGTGGTTCTGCTTCTTTGATGTTCATATGACTTGCCACTTCTACAGTTCCTACCAACATTTCATGAACTGACAACCCCACAAATTTCAAGATCTTTCATCAACTGGTACTGGTATGAGGCATTTTCTCCTAACTGTAACAAATCCTTATTTTCTCCAGCTTTAGCATCAAAAGTTGCAGTTTTTTTCTCAAAACAAAATATCTTCAATATCTTTTTTTAATGCAGGCAGAATGTCTGTGTAACAGACGCAGGAGTCTGCTAGTTTCAAAAATTGGTGACAAAACCATTAAAGCAATGTCATATATATAGGAAAGTGAAAGATACGTGAATGATGGACAGTGGTTTGACTGAACAAATAAAACTCCAATTTCTTACCGAAATAAAGTAAAAGTAAATTACCCTAATTATGCTTGAAAAGAATGGTAAAACTGAGTCTGGGCAAAATTAGTTTGCACTTATTTAAACTTTAGTTAAATCAGACTAATTGTCTCCGAATAATCAAATTTTCAAGTTAAAATATTTCTTGAATAAAAATTGGTAGAATGATTAGCTTGAAGAAGATACAGCATGGATAGGAAAAAATCCAATAGATCTTACAAAATAATATAAATTTTACGATAATTGTTGCATAATGTACTAAATATTTTACACATAGGGAATTCTAGGCATTTTTATTGTCATCAAAATAGAAAAACTGCAATATTTTCCAGTTATGATTGACATTAAACATACTTGGAATGTTATGTATTAAGTTTACTCATTATTTTGAATATTAATAAGCATTTAATTCATTAAAGATAAAAAAAATCTTGAACAGATTTCTAGAAATGAGCTTTGTGTCATTATGTATTAGTAATACTTATTTAAATACTCAAACGAGCAATAATCAGTACAAAAATTCCATTTCAATAGAGTTTTTTTTAAAGGAAACTTCCTCAAATTTAGGGAATTTTCTAAAATGTACAAAAGCCAAGAGAATTTCAATTAAACTAGTAGACCAGGAGAAACTGGCAAAATCCAGTAGTCTACTGAAAAATCCAGTAGAGTTGGCAGCTATGCATGATATAAATTTGAAATACCAGTTTAAATTTTTTAACTGTGTGCATTAATTTATTTACGAAACTAGTTATGCTGTTACCAAATTACTATTAAAATATACAATAAGATAAAAATAAAAAATAACTAAGGACTATAACAAAAACTGATAGAAATGAAAGCTAGAGACTTAGTTTATATCCAAAACTGGCTACTAACTTTTAAAGAAAAATGCAGTTCAAAATTTTCAGTAAAGTCCAAAAAATATGAAATCTGATTAATTCCTTACAATCATGAAATTTATAATCGATATAAGCAACCAGAAGTAGTAAAAGTCATAAATGTCTTGATCACTTATATGAACAACTGCGATGTCACAACGTAATTAATCTACAAGGGTAAGACCTCCATTAAGATGGCATTTTATGTTTTATTTTATAACCGGTTTTGAACAGCAAATCCAACTTTGTATTTTTGACTATCAATGTTCAACTTTGTCCCTGAGTAATTTTCCAATTCAGAAGACAAGGGAACTCCTCAAACAAGTAGAGACAGTCTTCATGGAGAACTTTTTGATATAATTAACCTGCATTTGTGTTACATGGAGAGGAAAATCTCTCAAAGTTAGCTTGGCAGCAAGGGAATTCTAAACCATGAACCGCCTACCACTTTATGTCAGCATTATGGTCGATTTAAGGTGGAAACAGAATTTGTATTGACTAATCATCACGGGGATTTGAACATGGCCCAACTCATTGGGAGGCAAGCCCTCTATCCTGTAAGTTATTGTAACCCGGAAAAAGATTTAAAAATATTAAAAGTAATTAATTGGGCAAAAAAAAATTATTCGACAGACTCCATTTAAAGAAAGAAACTTGTTGGGATGACCAAGGCTTGCTTTGGGTTGTACAGCCAAGAAGAAAATTACCAAAAACTGTAGTAACAAGCACTAGTTTTCTGACGAAATGAAATAATAAGAGTTTATGTAGGATAAGTACAACAACAAAAAAAAACTTACAGCTGTTCTTGTTGGATAAACACAGTCAAACATATCACAGCCCAATGCAGAACATACAACTAAATCAACAGCAAATCTGGAAAACATTAACAATAAAATAAATTCATCTGCTACATTAAACAGTACTGACATTCAGTTTAAATATATTTTACACTTTGCATAGAAAAAAAAAAAGAAATTAGTATTCACAAGAATAAAAAAATTCTTCAACATATATATATATATATATATACAGGGTGGTCCAAAAATATATGTCAAAAATGCAAAGCTAGGTAGAAGGGACATAAATAAGCATATTTCGATAGGAATGTGTGTGCAGTAATTGCACATTAAAGCACTAGCTTGTAAAACAGTATGAATCAAAGGATACTTAAAATACAAAAGAAAACAAAAATACTACCGACTCAAGGCGGCATTACCGCACTCACAATCCTATATGAAATATGCTGTCCCCTCTACCTACCTTTGCATTTTTGGCATATATTTTAGGACCACCCATTATATATGTTTATTTCATCAAAGAAAATTATAAAAATAATTATACGCTCTTATAATAATATTTTCTGAAATTATTCATTTATCATAGAAAATCAATAAATTGACAAGAGCTTATACACTGAAAAGCAATTCAATTGAAAAGCAAAGAGAAGAGAGGGAAAAAAAACAATCAACATTGAAAACAGAAACAAACTGAAACAATAAAAATAATATTTATTTAAACTGTAACTTAATAAACTAAACAAAGTTATTATATAACAGGTATTTAACAGCTGACCCAATTTTGAGTTTATGACTATCAAAGTTCAACTCCATAGCCTTGTAATTTTGAACCCAATCTAGAAGACAAGGGAACTCCTAGATCAAGTGATGGGATAAACTAACCATTGTGGAATACCTTTTAATGGAACTGATCTACATTTGTCTTACAAGGTGACGAAAACCACCTATGGTCAAACCATCTACCATTGATGATATTTTAAGTCAGAACTGCAGTCAGTGTAAGCCGGGAGCAGAATTAATATCAACCAGCTATTTGAACATGGGTCACCTTATTGAGAAGCAAAAACTTTATTCCTTGAGCCATCACGGCTCTAAACACTTATTAAAAAATATGTTATTCTGCCAACCTTGACATAGCGGTTTGAGGTCTATAAATAGGTCATCAGTTAATCAAGATCAGTTATCAAGACCAGATTATGTAGATAATTTTTGAACAAAAAGTACCTGATGTTTTTCGCTTAGTAATTATGAAATATTTTACTTTAAATACAACATTCAGAGAGATATGAACCAATAGGAAGCATGAGTTTTAAACATATAAATTCAACAACGNACGTAAAAAATCAAATCATATATAATAATCTTGTGCAAGTTCAAGAAAGGTATAATTCACAACCCTGAAATACAAATGATTTAAATAAAGGAACATGCATACCCAACACCCATTAGGTATCTTGGCTTATCTTTAGGTAGCAGGTCAGTGCTAAGATGTACCATTTTCCAAAAATCATCTTTAGATTCACCACCACTTAGACCTCCTATTGCATAGCCTGCAACTCTTCTCTTTAATAGTTCTGTAGAAAAAACAAAGCGAAAGAATTATCAATAAATAATTTGAAAAGATCTTGAAAATAAATTTGAATTAAGAGAAATAAAATATTCCGGTCTCTCTAAAGTTTGGTCACTGTTGTTTTTCAAACAAGTTAATAATAATTAAAAAAGAAATGAAGCTGGGGATAAAATTGTAGCATCACACTATTTAATATTTTTAGCAGTAATATTTTAACAGCAATTCAGTTAGAATAATAGAGAAATACACGAGCATTTAAAATTAGGAGGAAAAGTCAAGAAAGTTGACAAAGAAATTTTTCGTCCAGATTGTAAAAATAGTTAATGATCAACACAGATACATGAGCCATGGTGGCTTAGGGGATAGAGCATCAGCCTTCCAATGAGGCGAAGCGGGCTGGAACAACAGAGATGGCTGGTTAACTTCCACACGCAGCTCGCACAGACCACAGTGCTGATGCAAAATATCCTTAGTGGTAGATCATGGGTTACAGTCCCCTTACTGTCCGGCTAACTGTGGGAGGTTCCCCCCACCAGGTAATGCAAATGCTAGTTAGTTCCCTCAAAAAGTACTCCACACAGGCAAATTTCTCCTGATACTTGATCCAGGAGTTCCCTTGTCTTCTGGATTGGGTTCAAAATTACAAGGCTACAGAATTGTACATTAGTATTCGTAAACATTGGGTTGAACATTCAATAACGGTTTAGAAATTAAATATTGATACATGCTATGAAAATAAAATTGCAGTTATACAGGCTGGAGAAACATTTCATAATAAATTTAATTTTAAATAATTTGCTTTAATTTTTTAAATCTTGAAGTCAAAAACTAAAGTTAAAAAATCAAACTAAAGAGAAATAAGTAAAGCAGTGGTTATAAAAAAAAAGCTAAATATAAGAAGTCTATTTTGGATGCTAAGATACGTATATAATTCAAAACTAATTTTGAATTATCGTGATACTAAAAGTTAAAATATTGTTAGACAATCAAATAAAATAGCATAGAAGACATATTAAATTTGACTTCACAAAAAAATCTTAACACTGTACCATTGAAATTAATGAAAAAAAAATCATACAACATTTTCAAATTAACCTAGAATAAAAATTGTTTATGTACGCCAAGAATAATCATTCTCATTCATAATATTAATAATCTGGCCACATTATGAAAGTTCATTTCCATGATATTCAATTTATAGTAGAATCACAGAAGTAAATCAGGAAAAAAGAAAATTCGTTGAACAGTGAGAACTGTCCTTTCGTTGGATCTAAGAGATAAAAAATAAATGGAAAAAAATAAGACAACCTCTAGTTTTTATTTAAATATAGAATATAGGTAAAATAATTCAATCATTTAAAACCATATAACTCAACTTCTATGAGAAATAAATTGCAAAGTTAATATTTGTTCAAAGAATCACTTTTAATCATTTTAAAAACAAACATTTTAGAAAGAAAAAAATGAATACTAAGACTAAATTATTAAATGAATGAAAAAATAGTTAGTGTTTTACTGATGTTTAAAATAAGTTACCTTCGACACATTGTTCTCTTAATTTGGGATCGAGGCCACCTTGTACAATCGGAAATAGATTTTGAGTACCAGGTTTTTTGTGATATTTAATACATCTATCAAGCCATCTGTAAGTCCTATAATTTTTTTTAAAAAAAAGTAAGCATCTGCAATTGATGATAAAATATTTTTATAGAACAATTAAAACAAAACTATATTCTATATTAAACTCTAAATAATAAAATAAGTAATATTGTAGTGATAGGTAATAGTGTTTGAACAAACAACACAACATTTATTTGTTACTCCTATATAATAATAAATTTTTCGCAGTCATGCAGTACGAAGATTGTTTATTTTTAAAAATTTGTGTTAAACAGCCTCCCTCTCAATTCTTAAATTAGTTATCAATTTCACCACCAGGGTCCAACTTTAGTAAAGTATAATAGGCACAACTCTTAAGAAGCCGGAAAGAATGATTATAGAAAGACAAAGATTTTTGTGGGGTTAAGTATGACAGCATATTATCAAAAAATAAAAAAAAAATAAAACTAAGTGCAGATATTGAAATAAATTTGGAGCTGACTTCCATTAACAAAGCATTAAAGATAAAAGAAGTTGGGATAATCAAGGATCCATTGTGTACAACGAAAAATTTAAATAGAAAAGTGTAAATAATTATTCATCACATACTACCCATGCAGCAGCGATAAGTATTAATTACGTGAAAATAACGTTAAAATGCCACAAGGTTTAGAGCAAAAAAACGTTTTTTCAAAGCATTTTATTTACGTTTCAAGTGGTAGTTTAGAATTAGTTAAAAATGCGTTCATATTTGGGCTGTTTTTAACGTAAAAATGACGGATTTTTGCCTTTATTTTGACCAAGATGAATTTCGTGACAAATTTTTCACGTGATTTTAACCAAGCAGG